AGGGATTTTTTTCAGATTTTGGCTGATTTTTAAAAATAACCATAACTTGAAAATTTAAGTCGGAATCAACTCAAACTTTCTACACAGCATAAGTACATCAATATGTATCAGAAAATGTAATAAAAATTGGGGGTGATTTTTTAGCCATTTTTCGGAAAAAACCATGGGCTATAGTACAGGGATTTTTTCAGAAATTGACCATTTTTTGAAAAATAGCAATAAGTACATAAAAAGCCCAGTACCACCATTTCAATGTACATGTACTGTAGATAAATTCTCATTCCCTTCCTCCCTCCCTCTTTCTCTCCTCCTCTAAAGTTCGGTGGTCAGACACCAGAAGACATAATGATTGGTTATCCATCCACTGATGGTCTTGTCACAGCTCTTAGAATAGCACTCTTCATAACTCTCCTCTTCAGCTATCCGATCCTCTTCCATCCAACCAGACTAGCTCTCAATCGCCTTGTATCGTACTGCTATGAGTTGTACTCCAATCGTGGTTCAAGTAACAATCTTAATTGTGATCAAACTGATGAAACAACTGAGCTATTGATATCGTCAAGCTTGCGTTCTCGATTGTTGAAGTACAGGAAAGATAACACTGTTGAAAGGAAGGAATTGGTAAGTACCGTAGGCCGCCTTTTTTAGAGGGCTGTAAATTTTGCGAATTGGCCTGAAAATCTATTTTGCTGATTTAATTTTCGTAAATTTATGCCGTCTGCCATCTTGTACAGTGATAATTTGATTTTTGTGGAAGTACATGTAATTCTCACAAATTTTCAAAAAATTGTGAAATCTGCGAAATTTACAGCCCTCGAAAAAAGGTGCCCTACGGTATAAGATGTACAAAAAGTATCATTAGATATTATTAATTCTTTTATATAAATACATGTACATCATTATTATTAATGGATGTAAGAAAACAACTTGTGATATTTGAATGAGTAATTGTATATGCTAAAGTGTAGCGTCCATTTTAATTGCTGATATTTCAGCCATTTTACAATATTAATATTAATTAGATGTACATGCATAATTTTTTTACATTTAATTTAATTTTTCTAGAAACCAAACTGGTTGGTCTGGACGTGTGAGACGTGGGTAATGTTTGCCGTTAGTTTTCTCGCGGCCGCTTTTATACCAAACGTGAGTGTGGGCAGGGCTGGAATCAATTAATTAACAAATCAATGAATATTAATTGAAAGAATCTGACAGTGCTTAAATAAGTAAAAAATTTTTGGCTGTTAATGAAAATCTTTTTTGTGACAATGGTGACCTGTAGCATTAATTCTACCATACCAATTGTTCACTTCACTGGTTAATAGAATACTTTTGATTATTATGATTATCATTATTTTATTAATCACTCAGATTTAGAATTACGTGTAGGAGTGTGATAACTCCTCCCAAAAATTTGTCATCTACAACTATATAAATTCAAGGCTTGATGCTGAAGGATTGCAGTGCCTTTAAATGCTGTTAAAATTGATGAGGCTATTGTGGGTCCTAACCGCAGCAGTTTACAGTTTACTTAGATACATTTATCCTACATGCCTGGCTGACCATTTAGAACCATGTTTGTTTAGTTTAACTCAGCTTAATGTATAGTCCATGTATAGTTGGTTTCAGTTGTGGAAACACCCTTATAACTTTTCTGTTCTTAATGCTAAGTTGAAACTTGGTATAGTTCCATAATGGGGTTCTTCTTCATTTCTGGATTAGTTTTGGAGTCTTTGGCTGTACTACATAGTGCAGGGTCTTTTTTGTCATATTTGACCAAAAAAATGACTAGGAGAGATTTTTCAATTTTTATAATTTTCCCTGATGAATAAACATGTTCTTACATGTTGTGTAGCAAGTTTTAGCTGCTTGACTTCTTTCGATAACAAGCGTAACAGGGTAAAAAGTATTCCTATAATTGATTTCACCACCTTGCAAGTATAACTTGGTCATTATTAAGACTTATAGAGGTTCTCTCTGCCTTATAATGCTTCTAGAGAATTTTTAGACAGTATCTCTATGCTCTCTTGCTGTTAGAAAGCTCTTAACTTTGTCCCATGTGTAAGCCGCCATTTTGTTTGGCGTGACCACACCCACTCACGTAAAGGAGCGTGGGCGGGTGGTTGCTAAGGCTTGTTATTTCTCCAATACAACATGTATAGAAGAAATGTAAGTGTGGACATACAAATATATATATATATATAGATAGCGCGATGGTGAATTCAATTATAGGAACGAACCTGGGGGCTTCGCCCCCAGGTCGTTAAAAATTAACTAATATTACCAATTACATGTATTGCTCACTTTAAAGGCTATAATACAATATTTTTGGTTATTAATATTTATCTCAATTAAGTTTGATTAAGGAGCATGGTTTATACTCCTCCCAAAAATTTTTTTTACAGCTTTTGAAGCTCTACTCTTCAACTAGGCCATACAAGCTGTGGCAGAGCAGTGCCTTTAAATGCTGTTAAAACTGTTGAGGCTATTGTGGGTCGTC